TATATATATATATATATATATATATATATATGAGAAAAATGGGTATGTTTGGTACCAAGCATAAGTTTTTGTGCTTGGTAATGAGGTGGCATATTCCCCTGCACTCATTGAAATCGGGACCCACATTCACATGCGTTGGGGAGTGGTTAGAAATTTGAATGAGTAGATGGGAATAAGACATCTCACTACCAAACATAAAATTTGTGCTTGGTAACAAGCATACTCATTTCTCTCTCTCTCTCTCCATATGTGTGTGTGTGTATTATATATATATATGAGAAAAATGGGTATGTTTGGTACCAAGCATAAGTTTTTGTGCTTGGTAATGAGGTGGCATATTCCCCTGCACTCATTGAAATCGGTATATATATATATATATATATATATATATATGAGAAAAATGGGTATGTTTGGTACCAAGCATAAGTTTTTGTGCTCGGTAATGAGGTGGCATATTCCCCTGCACTCATTGAAATCGGGACCCACATTCACATGCGTTGGGGAGTGGTTAGAAATTTGAATGAGTAGATGGGAATAAGACATCTCACTACCAAACATAAAATTTGTGCTTGGTAACAAGCATACTCATTTCTCTCTCTCTCTCTCCATATGTGTGTGTGTGTAATTGTTAATATACTTAAATCAAATCTTGGATTATATACATATTAATTAGGATAGGATAAGATAATTGCAACTTCTACTTATTAATTAGAGTTTATTAGGATATGATAGGATAATAATGTATTATCTAAAAGGATCAAGGGTATTTTTGTCTACAAAAAGTTTTTCCCAAATTCTCACTTTTAAAGGGAGTATGATGTTATATGATTTCTATTTTGTAATTATGGGAAGTGGCTAAATGTGGTGATTGAACAATTATTAATGTAATTTTTAATGTAATATTAAAATAATATAAATTTTAATATACTTAAATCAACTCTTAGCTTATACACACATTAATTTGGATAGGATGAGATAATTGAAACTTCTATTTATTAATTAGAGTTTATTAGGATAGGATAGGGTAATAATGTAATATCTAAAAGGATCAAGCATATTTTTGTCCGTAGAGAGTTTTTCCAAACTCCCATTTTTAAAAGGAGTATGATATGATATGATTTCTAGATTGTAATTCTGGAGAAGTGGCTGGGGAACAATTATCTATAACTTAATATAATGTTTAATAAAATTTTAAAAATCTATATAATTTTTAATATACTTAAATCAAATCCTAGCTTATATATATTATTTAGGATATGATAAGATAATTGATACTTATTAATTAGAGTTAATTAGGATATATAGGATAGGATAATAATATAACATCTAAAAGAATCAATGGTATTTTTGTTCATAGAAATTTTCTCTCAAACTTTCACTTTTAAGGGGAGTATGATTTACAGTTGGAAAGATTTTATAACGAAGATCCAAGTTGAGGAACGAAACAATTGTAAATGTAACTACCACAGCCTAATCTATTATTATATTTAGTCCAAGTGAAAAAATATTAACTTTGGAAGATTATCAGATAACCCCCTATAACTTTCGAAATATTAGAAACCATCCCTTAAGTCGATTATCAGAAACCCCTCATAGCATTAAGAGTTTATTAGGGAAAAAAAGCAAAAAAAAAATCAGGGGTTTTCCCGATAAAATAACAAAGTTAAAGGTCTCGTAACCCCTAAGCTTAAATGGGATTTTCTGATATTTTCAAAGTTATAGGGGTTATCTGATAATCATCTGAAGTTAAGCGGGTGTTCTGATATTTAGCCATATATTTAACAACCCCACTCAAACTAACAGTAATCACATGGACAAAAAATCGAGAGTTCTCACAAAAAAACTCGAACTGAGAATGCGCTTGCGCTTTTAGTGGAGAAATCAGTCGCGCCGTCTCCGGAAGAAATGCATGTGGCAGAGAGATTCGATGAGCTCCAGCGTTCTGGCGACCCAAATGGCAATATATCGACCTCAATGTGTTTTGTTCGCTCGTGAAACGCAGGATTAGCGGCGATGTGAATGACTCTGTAATTATCACAGTACAAAACTATGTCAGGGGCCGCATCTGCGCCCGTATCATGTAACAAGCGTTAAATATTTAGCAAAACAGAACGTTTTGCTAAATATTTAGCAAAATGGATCTCTTTTTGACCAACAAGTCAAAAGATGTCGATTTTACAAAACGGACCATTCGAAACATACGAGACTAGTAGTCCCGTATGATTTATTAAATCATATGGGATTACTAGTCTCGTATGTTTCGAATGACATGTTTAACAAAATCTATTTTACTAAATATTTAGCAAAACGGTCTGTTTTGCTAAATATTTAGCAAAATTGATTTATTTTGCAAAATTTTCCTATCTTGAAGCTTACCACGCTAGGTGATAACTGAACTAGCATCACATAATGTTATAAGTGATGACGACGAAGAGTCTATGGGAAAGAGCAGAGACCAAGATATTGTTTCTTTTTCTTTTTATTTCTTTTTTTAAACCTTCCTCGACGCCATGCAGAGCAGGAAAGTTGATTTAAATACTGATCGAAAAACCTAACAAATAAGGTAAGTAATAAAGTAAATATTGTAAATACATATTGCAATACTAGGCTAATCTATTACTGAACAAAACTCATATTTTAGAAATATTTTCCTAATCAATTCGAAATGTCGAATATATATATATATATATATATATATATATATATATATATATATATATATTATATAAATATATATATATATATATATATATATCAATTCACTCTCTCTTTAACTTCAATCTATTATTATCAGTCTCTTATTTTTCAGATTGTCTATAAATGTGTCCGCTTTTAACTAAATGAGTCACCATATCTTTTTTATTTTTATTATATATTACTATTATTATTATTTGGTTTGATGGAAACCATATATATCTAATTTTATATCTAATTTTAAGATGAATATCTTAATGTATTTTCTTTTACAATAGATTACATCACTGTATGAGACCCAACCTGGAGAGAATCATAAATGTCTATATGCCAAAACACAGTGTGTTTCATATTGTTCCAACTTGTTATATCCTGAGAATTACTAAAGTCTAGTGAACTCTTGAGAGTCGGTCACTTGTTAATCATAACTAGCTGAGTTCTATAAGTCTGAAGACCCAACCCAACCAGGTTTGAGCACCGCTGACCTCCCTGACAGTCTAAGTCCTAGACAAAATGTGTCTTCAAGCCGGGATCCGCTAGATAAGACTGAATATGAGACGAAAGATGTCTTCTACTCTGACCCAATCACCAACGAATTTAATGATGGGTCAGAGTCATTATGATTTTTTAGGCCGACGTTATTACTCCTCAGGCGACGCTAACACTTCAGCCGTTCCGTCACTGTCTCATTAAATGTAAAGGTGACTCATTCAACAGGCTACCAACACGTGTAAAATACGGACTGATCAATCGACTGTACCGACCTGTCAAATTACTAATGTGCCATTGCCAATCCTCTATAAGTAGTAGGCAATCTCCACTATCCTAAAGTACACTAAAATTACTGAATAACACCCTGAAACTAGATTTTGTAAACGTACTTAATCTATTATTAACTTGAATATCAAAGGGCACGCCGGACCAACAAACTCGCCCTCTATTTGGTCTCTCTCATACAAGAATCTATTTCTTTCTAATTATTTGGTCTCTCTCATACAAGAATCTATTTCTTTCTAATTGATCAGCTATCAAGAAAGATTAAGAGACCCTAAACTGCTCTAAACATCCACGTACCCATAAGAGTAACTTTTTGACATAAACACTTCTGTATCCAAATTCCAACATGCATATTTCTGTATTAAAATGAAAGAATGTTCCAACCTAAGAGAGAACTGTGCGGAAAAATAAGACCCCAAAAATCCTGATGGAGTCTGTACTCTATGTCAGGCGATTGGGATGGGGATTCATATGCCCAACAGACCCCCATAATTTCAAACTGCAACAATCCCTAATAACATCAATAATCACAAGAATCCTCATCTCAGCCTCCAGGGCATCGGAAAAAGCTACCAACTCCAGAGTAAATGGAGGAGATGCAACTGGCACTAACCTCTACTTATGAAATACACAAAAATATAATATATACGTTGAAGATATCCTCATAGGAAATTAGCGCGGTTATCGATACATGCATCCAGAAAAATATGAATAAATTGCTGTCATTAAGATAACCCAAAAATAATGGACACGAAACAATATCTATTATTCATAATAAACAGTATAAATATGGAAAACAAATATATGACACAAAATTCGGAAGCACAGAAGTACAAGACATACTATATCAGGCAGTTGGAGGGAGCATATACAAATGGAGCCCAGCCACAAAACCCTACTGTGTTTCAAATGGCATCGACCCTACTATCGTCAAATAACCACAAAAATCCTCATCTCAGCCTCATTGGCACCAAAAAAATTACTAATTTAGAAGGAACATCAAGGAGATACAACTGATAATAACAACCTACAACAAAATTACACAAGTGGCTTGTTCCTTTTCCTTCGTTCAGCTACCCATCGATAAACAATAAACCTCAAACTATGTTTATCTTCAATATCCCATAGGAGGCATGCCATAGGCAGGCATGGGAGGCATCCCCATACCACCCATAGGTGGTGGTGGGGCCGGCGCTCCGCCAAAAGGACCGCTCATTCCACCCATTCCAGGCATTGGTGGTGCTGGTAATGCAAGAGGTAGCAATTGGGCATACATATTCTGCATAAAATGCGCGAAGTTTTTATATGTTAATTGATTTTTTTTTTTTTGCATCACAGAATAAGATATAAGATATTATACAGAGAGTTAATTGAACTTACCTGCTGAGCAACCATGTCTTTCTCTTCCTTCTCCTTGGATTTCACCTCGTTCATGGCTTCGAGCTTATCTTTCATGAGGTCGTCCACTTTGCTTGTGTATTCACGAATAAACTGCATTACAATTTGACACATGCCTCGTTATAGTGTGAAAGCCCAAGTCATTATGATAAATGAAGACAAAACTGGAAGATGAAAAATATCTAACCTGTAGAAGGTATGGGAAAGTGAAGTCAAGCATATTGTTCGTCCATGCAAGCTCTAGAGCAACATCAGGTCGAATCAAGTCATAACAGATAAAGAGACATGAAGCAAAGCATTCTTTCTTCCCCTGCCAAAAAAAAGAAAAAAAAACATAATGGTTCATAAACCTCTCACAGTCACTTTGGGCGGGATAGAGAATTCAGAGTGGGATAATCATTCTTGCTAAGACTGCAAACCTAGTTAAATATTTATTGCTTCATGTAGAATTTATAGGTTTTCATAGTAAAAAAACAAAACATTATCTTATATGTCACATAGTAATACCGTATAGAAATCTGCAACCAGCCTTCCTTTAATTTTTTCTTATTACACAAAGTGTGTGCATTCTGACATGGAACCACGTCACAATCTTCTAGGATCATTTCAGCAGAGAGGTGAATCACGTCAAAGGATCCATGCAAGCAACTGCTCTTTAATATTTCTTATTATATATAAACCGTGTGCATTCTGAACTTCATTTTAAAATTTGAAACAAAGAAGGAAAGAAGAAAGGACAAATACTCAAAGGAAGATAACTTAATACTTCAAATTTGTAACTACCTAACAGTGGGCATAGATACGCCCCCATAGCAGGAGAGAGCAAACATCCATGTATTGTATAAATTTATATGGTAAAAAATAAAAAAAAATAAACAAGGCAAATGATCACATGGAGGAAATAAATATTATTATAGAAGCACAACTGGATTAAAAAGAATAACCATCTAACATCAATAAGGCAAATAGTAATAATGTGCCTCTCAATCTGCTTGCAGTAAATTTCCATGGAAGGGAATATCATGGCAATTTATTAAAAAAAACAATGGAGGGAGTACATCACGCAAATGAATGTAGAATCTTCTCATTTGATAATGAAGACGGATAAATAACTTTAAACATAATTACCTGCTCAATGAAATAAACAAGCAACTCCTCAGAAAGCTCGCGTTCACCAGACTGAGAGCATGTCTCCATAGCATCTTTGTACATTTTGTCCTTCTTAGACAGAGCAATGGACTGTTTCCATCTTCCTGCTTTCTTATAAATATATGCAGCGACCCGTCTCATTTCCAGAAGCTCATGTTTTTCAATCTGCACGTCCACATTAAATAGCTTACATACTATTGTTTTCTCATTTTGAAAAAGCTATAAATGGTACAAAAAGAAGCGCGGCATATTTACCTTCTGAGCAAGGCCTATCTGATCAAAATTATCATGCAAATCAATGGACTCTCTTAGCCTGTCATAGTCCTCTTCTTCAACATAGATTTCATTTAAGGCTTCATTCACAGCAGATACATTATTGCTCTGTACTGCAATCATATATGGTTTCACAAGATGCAAGTGGCCAGCCTGGAACAGAAGAAAGGGAGAATAGGAATGGATTAACCAGAATATATTTAGCACGCACTGTAAACATCTACTCGGAAATAGTAGTTATCAGAAACAGCCTTCGAAATATTTACTTGACAAGTTTCATTCTGAATCTAACTGAGAAATAAGACACTCCAAATTAGTAAAAGAAATCAAGAGATGGAAATGAACCTTCCGCATGATGTCCACAACACGTGTATGATCCACACGGAGAGCAAGAACATTGAGCATATCATTGATAAGATCAGGATGCTCCTGCAAATAGAAGTGCACCGCTTTGTAGTAAAGTTCAACATTTGCCACTTTGACAGCAACATCTTTGAACTGCATGTGATCCCAGGCATCTGGAGAGTGGTTCATGATTGTGGTAGCGGCATTGTCGAATTCATCATACTGTATATACAGGTAAGTGAGCTCTTTCCAATGTTGTTGCTCATCACAAGCACGGATAAGCTTGGGAATGTTCAGTCGTGTTGAGAACAGTTTGATGTGCTCCATAAGTTTCTCTGGACGATATCTAGCATATAACACTCCCAGCTCTGTAAAAATACCCATGTGAGCCCGCTCCAATCCGAGGCCGCTCTCCATGAGAGAGATCAATTCATTGAAGCATCCTCTATTCTGGTAATAATCACTAACTTCCTCCAAGTCATCCACCTGCAGTATTGACATAAGTTTAAAAGCTAGTAGGTTATTACATTTGCAATAGAAGGCTCACAAACATGGAACCAACAGCAAAAAAAGATAGGAAAAAGATGCCAAAAGGGGCTGCAGGTAAAAAAGAACACCTGTACAATAATATTGAGGCCACAGATTTGTGCCAAGCGGAACTCTTCAGCATCCACACAAGCGAAGCAGACCTCCTTCCATGTCTTTGAACTGTTTGCTTTGCGAGCTGCATCAACTGCACCTTGGAACTGTTTGAGTTTAACCAGGGTAACAGCCAGTTTGGCCCAGTTGGAAATGAAGGCAAATATGATCTTTGCAGCTTCATATAGAGCTTCATCATATAGACGATCACCGACATTTTGGAGATTGGCAACATTTGGCATAAGGATGAATTCCTCTATTTCACTCAACCTATCAATCTTCGCATACGCATATATGAGTTCACTGTCGACCTTTGGCTCTTTAGATTTCTGCCTGACCATCAGCAAATACTTAACCAAGTCATGGTATACATTAGCGTTTTCAGCAGCCTGAATAACTTCTAAGAAATAGGTTGCATCATCTGCACGAATAAACGATTCAATTGCATCGCTCACTAGCCCTTCCCGTAGCTGAGCCTTTGCTACCTGAGTCCAAACTGCATCTTCTTCAACACGGTAGGCAAACTCCACCGCCCGGTCTATGTTTTGGATGTTATCCAGAAGAACATTCACTGCCTGGACGTTCAAATTGAACTTCTTAAAAATAGCAAAGGCTTCCTCATACAATTGTGCTTCAACAGCAACCTCTCCAACTGCAGGTCCATCAAAGTTGTCCAATCTATTGATGTAATCCATAACCCTAGATGCATCTGCTTTGATGGCTGTTAAGATAAGCAAATTTTGCAGATTGAAGTTTCCACTGAAAGCAGAATTTTGGAGCACAATCTTCTCAAGTAACTCAATCAATTCATGAGGAAGATCAGCAGTCATGAAAGCTTTAACAGCTGCAGATACTTGCTCAGGGCTCTTGCTTTCAGGCAGGGCAGTAGAAACAACCTGATCAATAAGCTGTCTCCTATACTCATTGTCAGGAAGAAGCACCTTCTCCCAGAGATCAGAATCCATCCTCTCCACCACATATCTGAAATTGGAAAGATAAAATATAAGTGTCAACCAAAAGATAACCGGATAAAAGCTAGCAAACAATAGAAGACATTCAAGAGAATTTCTTGGCCATATTGACACAGATGCATACCTGGCCTGCAATTTGAAGAGGGAGTTCTTGTTTGTGACGTTTATAAGTTCATCATCACATTGTCCTCGTCTGTAAGCAACAACTGCAAGAGTTGGATCCCGCTTCTCACAATACTTACCCACAACACGTGAATCATAGTATGGGTTAGTGGTGAGAAAATGCTCTGGATTGTTATTGCTATCAATGATTATTTTTCCCAACGCATTGTGAACATGCACATCCTGGCTTCCCTCACTCACGAGATGTTCCAAGAATTGCGTGAGTAATCGAAGACGATTCCTAAAGTGGTGAAGGCAGAAATCAGAAGAATATAAATCAGAAAAAAGTCTTATGTTACAGTTAAATGCTCCGCCACAAACCTCTTCTCACATTCATCCACGAGTGGCTCTACAGGGAGGAGAGACCGGACTGAAATAATTAGACCTTTGATGAAATCTTCAGGGCACTCATCATCTAGCAGTTGGCCAACCACTAATGGAGCATTGCTTGGATTCACCTACCAAATTATTTACAATCAAGGAAACTTGAACATTATAAATAAAATGTCTTAAACTGGCTTCACCCATATCAGAGTTTAAGCACTGATTTATCTTTGAGGAGAGACATACCTTCTGAACATAACCTTCAATATATCGGAGCATGTTGTTTGTGTACAAGTAGTGAGTCAGATCAGGGACAAAGCCAAAACGATCACAGACATTTATAAGAGGCCGTGCATCTGGAAGTTTGGCTTCCATAAGGAAATTCTTCGTCTTCTCCGCATCATAGAAATTTGATTCTCTTGTTACCCTTTCGACTTCCTTGATCTGCCCAGTTTTAGCTGCTGCTTCAATATACTTGAAGTGTATATCTGGATCCTCACTGTTACAGACAATAAAAAAATAAGTCTCTCTTACCGTTTGCCAGTTCAAAAGTGAATATCGAAATAAAAAGTACCTGGAGCTAAGATATGATCCCAGGAAGAAATAAAGGCCTTCATAGGATTTAAATTGCTCGAACAGTTTGATGCATGCATCAACACCCAACTGCTCAGAATACTCTTTGGCAGTCTGCAAAACATACCTATTGAGAACTTCTAACATAAACTTGAAAATGA